TCATCCAGGACGCATCCACAGGCTGCACAGAGGCGATTGCGGACAAGGGCCTTGGCTTTTGCGGGGCTGTGCCGCAAGGCGGCATGCACTGGTCCCCATTGGGGGCGTTTGCGGGGCTACCAACGGGCGCGGTGAGCCCCGTGGCAGGTCCCAAAGAGACTGCAAGGCCGTGAAAGGGGGGCGCCTTTAGTAAATTACCGCGGCCCTCCACTGTCGCGGTGGTCGCTCTGATGCTGCCCACCGCCGCCGCCAAGCAAGCACCGCACCCAGCAGCGCTTGATGTGGCAGGGATGCAGTGCGACCTGGTGCTGGTAGCGGTGGCAGCCCTGGGCACATAGGCAAGCGCAGGCGCTGCGGCACGCGCCGCTGTGAGTGCCTCCTGCGGCACGCGCCGCTGTGAGTGCCTCCTGCGGCACGGCGCCATTGCGGCGTGGTGGTGCTGGTGCGTTGCATGGCTGGCAGGGAACCTCATCAAAAAGAAAATGAAAACGGGCGGGCGGCAGCCCTGGCTCGGCCTGCCTAGTGATCAGGGTTCAACGCCGCCGTTGGTTTGGGTTCAGGGCGGTGTGAGTCGCACTCATGTCGGGCATGGTGCCGCCTGTGACTCACATCGGAAGTGACGTGATGCATGAAGGGGATGTTGGGTGGCTGCCCCCGGCAAACGGGGCGAGGCAAATGAAATCAAAGAGAGGTTTTGTTACAGAACGGGGACACTGCATTCGGGAGGAGAAGTCCATGCATTGTGAATAGGCACAGGAGTACTGCTCAAGGCTGGCTTGGTGGAAAACAGAGGGGGGAGACCTTGCTTTCCTAAAGCGCTGCCAGCAGTGCTTGTTGTTTCTAATTGTCAGAAGTGCTGGGAGGGACGAATGGGGAAGCGGGGAAATTCAGGAGAGAGAGTGCAAATAACAAAAGATGAAAGATATTATAAGGTTTTGGATACCTCGACAGCTTGAGACAGGCGACGATGGCTGGATGCCACCGGCTGAGCGAAAAAACACGGATAGCAGGGACGGCAGTGGATGCGCAGGGTGGTGCACGGCAACGAGCCCTAGATAGTTTGGACAAAAGCATACGTTGGGTTGTGGTTGTGGTCTGTGTGGCTGACACATAAAGGTAAAGGTAAAGGTGGGGAAGAGCCTCCACAGGCTTAACTTCCCGGTTTTAACGTCTAGCTTTAGACCATTATTTGATCTGCCCGACGCGCCAAGTGCAGTACCCCCCACTAGTAGTGAATGGGTCCCGGGGAGGCCTGTGCCGAAGCCTTGGCGATTCTAATAGGCGTTCCCGAAGGAATTGGCTTGGATTGGCGCTGAGCCGGTCAGCTATGCCGCGTTTGTCCTCACAAAGTTTCGACATGGGAGGAATCGAACCTGTGCCCTCTCGGAGGGTTTAGACACTAGCTCCAGCGCCTTCAAAGAAGGCCTTTCTTAGCCGCGACACATGCATGAGGGGAGAAGGCTCCAGCGCGAGCGCTGGCTGCACAGGTTTATTCAAATGTAGAGAACGTTTTCCGTTGGAATGAAAATCATCACGTTCGCTTTTGTTCATCGTTCCTTGCTCGAGTCCCCCGGCGCGGCCGGGCCCCGCGCCCCCCTCCCGCTCCTCTGGGGCCCTTCTTGAGCAACACCCTGCCTTGGGGACGCAGGACGAGGGCGACCGCAGCATCGCCGGCTCGCTTGGCCCGCCAGCCGCCCATTCTGCAACTGCCCGCACTCGAGATGGCCTCCTGATGGTGCGTGGAGGGGTGCCCCGGGCCCTGCGGCGCCCGCGGCTCGGCTAGTCCGGCGAACACCCCCTCGGGCCGGTGCCGGCTCCCGGCCCGTTGTATGAGCCCCCGTGTGCCCCGTTGGTGCCCGGCCACCCCCTCTGCGACTTGTTCGCCCCCTACGACGCGTTTTGTGCGCGCCAGCCCCTCCCCCCAATTCCCGCT